TAGTCGTGTCCATTTTTGGAAGGCCAAACAAAGTAGTTTCGCTTTCACAACGAAACACAGCGTCTCACACGGCGGCCTTGCATGAGCGGAGGCCGGAGGATTAGAGTGAGCAGAGGCCGGTGGGCTTGAGAATGGCGCGGCCGGCGGATTCGACGAAGGAGAGTCCGGAGGGCTTGCGGCAACCACATGTGGAAAGGAAAAATTTAAATCGCATCATATGACCCCTTTAAAACCCGGACGCTAAATCAGAGCGAGGACCACCGTGAAGGATGCATGTGTGTGTTATTGGATCCACATGATGACCTTTATAGACGAGGACGGTTCATTACATCACACTGTACTTTAGTGTCATGTAGTAGTTCATGTGTCGATTTGGGACGTGATCAGCAGATGCATATGAAGTCATGCTGACAGATGCACGTGTGTGTTTCTGTAAGCTACATGCGACTGCTTCACTCCGAATGGCTGAGATTCTTTCAAAGGCCTTGCAGGGCATTATGGGAGTGAGTGTGTAAAAATGGCAGACTGACTCACTCTCTGTCCAGTGCGCACACACCCTGATCCTCTATTTTTACACTTGTACACCTCTGTAATCTGAGTTGTGTGCCAGGATCGTCACTCTTATAGCCGCTGATCTCATGTGTTTACTAACCACATCCGTTCGTCACATTATACCGCAGTAAACTTGTGGCATTTCTCGCACCATTATGGATTTCAAACATATTACAACAAATCTGATTTTAACTAGATTTCAGGCCACATATTTGACTTTTTAATTAGTTTAAAATAGGGCTGTCAAACGATTAATCGCATCCAAAATAAAAGTTTTTGTTTAAAACTAGTTTAAAACCATTCAAAAAATGTTACTTGAAATAAACTTGAAATAATATATAAATAAAATAAAAATAATAATAATGAATAAATCTTTTATTTCAAAAAACTTTATTTTTTTATTAAATAAAAATGCAATAAATTATTTGTATTTTTTGTAAAACTTTCCAATAAGTTTTTGACGTTAGTTAACAACATTAACATGAACAAACAATGACAAATAAATTAATCTCAGTTAATGTTAGTTTCAACATTTGCATTACTAAATCCATAGTTTATTTTGTTAATATTATTTAATGGACTTGGGCTAACAATGAACAGTTGTATTTTTATTAACTAACATCATTAAAGATTAATAAATACTATAACAAATGAATTGTACATTGTTCATTATTAGTAAATGCAAATTAATGGGACTTTATTGTATTGTACTAAAATAACTAAAACACCCAAAAGAAAACTATATACAAAACTAGTACAAATGACAAACACACTACAAAATTACTAAAACATTGACAAAATGTCAAATGAAAATGTAAAATATATAAAAAATAAATATATAGTCAGACATAAAAAATAAAAAATAAATCAAAATCTTAAAGCTATAATAGTTTCACAATGATGCTGAAATAACACTGCTATAAACAACATTAATTTATTAATTAATTCTCTTGAGTATATTTTTATCCACAATCAGTTCCTAAAATAATTAAATGTTAGATGACACCATTGCAGCAGAAATCACTGGCTCGTTACTGTATAGATTGTAATTTTGGCCAGAGATTCAGCAGTGTTTCTGCTACAAAATCATTGTAATTTTCTAATTGCTGGTTAATCTGTGTAATCATTTACTCCTTCCAGAATTAAACGAGCGCTAATTATCAGAGCGGTAGGTGCAGGATGGAGAGACGAGCTATAAACGAGGCGAGCCAATGACTGTTTCACATGTTTTAATGTATATAATTGATATATATGAAGGATTTTGACTCTATTCCAAAACCGTGTGAGCTTCCTTGTTGTCTACTTTCAGCATCCTAACTGAAACTGAATGTTTAGTCACACAAATAGCACACGTAATACAAATGTTGGGTAAATAGTGCATATTTAAGTGGGACTGAACTGTTTTTATTAATAATTTTCAGTTATATATATATATATATATATATATATATATATATATAAAAGTCAATATCAGAAAATAACTATTTGGAACAACTATAATTTGGTTTCAGTCTCTATTCTTGTTCCAAACTGTCACAAATCCTTGTGAATGTCAGCCGATGACAATGATTGTCATATTAACCAGCTAAAATCCCCTGCTGGGTCGCTGGTTAGATATTTGCTGTGAAAGGATATTTGTTATTAACTTCAGGGCCGATGAAAAAGCTGACAAGCACACATCTGGTATGTTTTCTTCCTGTTCTTGTAGGAAGTCACCTGGCAGTCAGGTGAAGAACAAAGTTAATGAATAGTGTCTGTTTGCCCCCCCAAAAAAAGCAAACGTGAGTTTAAACATGTCTGAACCGAGAATCATCTCTAATAACCTCAATATTTGCTAATATACAACTATTTAATTACTTTTGAGGAGACAGTGGGCCATACATTTGTAATTACGTAGTGATGTAAAAAAAGGAAAAATCAGTTATTGTTTCCCCCTTTTTTATGTTTGTTTTATTTTTTTATTTAGGTAAATTCTTGTGAGATGTATGAATTTGTACTAATTTTGTACAAAAATAAAATATAAATCGGTTGTTTGGACCGATCATTGAGTCGAATAGTTTGAAGGAACCGGTTCGCGGAAATGAATAATTGAGTCGAGTCATACGAAAGAACCGGTTCGCGGAAATTAATAATTGAGTCGAGTCATACGAAAGAACCGGTTCGCGGAAATGAATAATTGAGTCGAGTCATACGAAAGAACCGGTTCGCGGAAATTAATAATTGAGTCGAGTCATACGAAAGAACCGGTTCGCGGAAATGAATAATTGAGTCGAGTCATACGAAAGAACCGGTTCGCGGAAATTAATAATTGAGTCGAGTCATACGAAAGAACCGGTTCGCGGAAATGAATAATTGAGTCGAGTCATACGAAAGAACAGAACAGGTTCGCGGAAATGACTCGATTCGTCTCAATGAACCGGTTCAAATAACCGAGGCCAGTCCCATTTTTGTAACCGATTGCTTGACTGAAATAAATCGTAAAGATGTGACGTTCAGGAAGCCTTATCACAGTTACCGCGACACGAGTTCAATCGAATCAAGTTCACTGAGCATTTGAGTCGTGCGCAGAATACAAAACAAAACAAAACAAAACGGAAGTTCCTGTGGACGACAGTGACTGGATGTTAAACCATCGTTACACACAAGCGCCGTCTTTGTAAGTTACCCGAAAACAATTAGCAAACACACATTGTGTGCAGTTTAGAGTAATTACACAGCACTGAAAATGCGTTTATGAGTCCTGAAAATTAAACCGTGTGAACCTATATTAAACACCCAAATACGGCTACTGCTGGCCTTCAGTCTGTGAAAACAAACAAAACATTGTGAAATCCAAAGCTTGTATTTTGGTGAATATAGTGAAATATTTAATATGAACAACAATAATATTTATATTAAATTAATACTACACTCTAAAAAATGCTGGGTTGTTTTAACCCAACTCTGGGTCAAATATGGACTAACCCAACTTTTGAGTTGAAAATGTAATTGAAAAATGTAACCCAACAGTTGGGTTAGTCCATATTTGACCCAAAGTTGGGTTAAAACAACCCAGCATTTTTTGGAGTGTACCTCTTCAAAAGAATTGAGATGTAATAGACTATATTTTTGGATATTCAAAGTATTATAATGGTGTCAAAAATTAAGCTTATATAATAAATCTGATGCTTTTTTTTTTTTTAGATATTACATTAATAGATGTGCGTTTTCTAATGAAAAACTCTTTTCTCCGTGGTCTTTAAATCAATTGAGAATTATTTTTTATAGCTACTGTTAATATAAAAGCTATAAAAACTGTTCACTTATGCTCTGTCTTTAAAATCTTTGAATAATTCAATGGTCATGTCTCTATTTGTGTTATATATACACACTGTTGTAATGTGTTCTTGTTTAAAGCATAATAATAAATAAAATAAAAAAACAGCCCTTATTTAGTCAGGGTAGATGAAGTTCAGTGCTATATTGCCCTGTTGTTTCAAAACATACCAAGTGTTCCGTTCAGCTCATGAAACGTCTTTAAAAATAAACTTTCAGTTGACAAAAACTCAAATGAAAATGACATGATTTACGACCTTTACAGTGTTTTGTTTTTGTCCTCAGCTCATAAATTGATCTTCAGTACAAAATAATCGTGATTTGAATTGTAATATTCTCAAGTTTTCCTTTATTGTAATACTTAAAGGGATAGTTCACCCAAAAATGAAAATTCTGTCATTTATTACTCACCCTCATGTCGTTCCAAACTCGCAAGACCTTCGTTCATCTTCAGAACACAAATTGAGATATTTTTGATGAAATCTGAGAGCCCTCCATAGACAGCAACGCAACTGAAATGTTCCCAGGTCCAGGAACGGATATTTTATTCTTAAAATATCCTAATTTGTGTCCCGAAGATGAACGAAGGTCTTACATGTTTAGAACGACATGAGAGTGAGTAAACAAACTTATAAAAAAGGCTGGTTCTGTTGTGGTGTGTGTTACCCGCTATAGGCGAGATAGATAGCACAGGATAAATTGGTCAATATGATGAATCATGATTGTCATCCTCTTCATGAAACAGTTCAAGCCTGTGTGAGTTCTTTTAGCTCAAGATTAATTCAGCCCCGGTGTTACAAGGAACGATGTAGAAAGTAATTTTTAACAACAGCTATTAAATTGTATAATCAATGTCATATTAGATGCTTGATGTAGATTTTTAATTGTATAGGTTATAAATATGGAGGAGTGCATACTTTGATGCTTGAAACAAAGGGGTGCTGTATGAAATGCAGTATTTTTATCTTATGTATTTATTGTGTGGTGAGCTCCGCTGTGACGTGAATTTCCCTTTGGGATTAATAAAGTCAGACAGAATTTTTATTTTTGGGTGAACTATCCCTTTAAGATGTATTATGAAGTATTCTGGCTGAATGAAATGATCTCCTCTTGAACAGCAAACCTTAAATTTCCTGTCCTAACACTTGACTTTGCCACGGGTCCTGCCCTTGTGTCTGTTATTATGGGTGAGTGATTTCTCGAACAGAGAGCCCTTTCTCTCTCTCTCTTTCCTCCAGCCTGCACCTGTTCCCGCTCACCCTGCAGCCAGTCACACCAGTCTTCATTAGCGCAGCTGCTGCCGTCCCTCAGCCCTCAAGTCAGGAAGTCTGATTAGATACAGAATGTCACCTTGCCCATATCAAGTGCTGGCGACCGGAATAATACACATGACGCTGTTGCTGATTTACATCAGTGAGTGAGTAAACACTGCAGAAACTGCAATCTTATCTAGAGCCAAATTAAAGCTCAAAATTCAGTGTAAAAATTCAATGCTGCATAAAAGCCAGACTAAATTATATCTGCTCAGACCCACCTCAGCTGTTAGCGTCAAAGCGTACAGCTGTAATTGCTGTGTAAATGCATCCATGCCATCTCTGTGCAGCATTAAACGGTCTGTGTAAAGACACCTAAATGCCACTTCAGAAGCACTTCTGTGCCACCTTTGCAGTGTGAATTTAACATAGGAGTAAATACAAAAAATATGCCTCTATTCAAAATGTTGGTAATGCATTATTTAAGAACTTTATGTATAATTCATTATAAAAATGCATTAAATATTTTCATAAATAACTGTAATCAAAGTGCATTAAAATGCATTATATTTGCAGATATGTTGCATTTGAAATTGATTATTTGTCATGTATTTTAATGCATGGCATTTTCTATGAAACAGTGAATAGATAAATATTATAATGTAGCAATTATTAATGAGATCACATATTGTATTATAAGATGCATTACAAGGCATAATTAATGCATTAATTTACTTTTATAATGCATTATATATAAAGGCTACTAGTGTTACCGAAATTTAACTGTAAGAACCTATGAAACATTTTGGATATTTTTACGGGAAATTAATAAAAAAATAAAAGTTTATTGCTCAGAAATTGCACTTTTTTTTTTAAATCTCAGAAGGCATAATGGGAATGTATTTCATTTAAATATAATTTTTTCTCTTGAGTTTTCCCCCTAAAACTGACAAATGAAAATGCTTAAAACAAGAATATTATTACATAAGATCTTGAAATGTTGTTTTCTGATAAATGCATATATATGTATATATGTAAGTTTATGCTTAAAACAAGAACAAATATCTCACAATGGGGTCAGAAATACAGTCATGTTTTGCTTTGAATTAAGTTTTATGAAGTTTTTACACTTCTGAGCTCATTTGCAGAAATTTGTTCTTGTTTTATATATAAACTCACTTAATTTTTGTCACTTAATATTTTATGCCATTTTGTATGTCCAATAAATATATCTTGATTTAGGAATGTTTAGATATTTATACTGGAAAACTTGACAAAAGTACTGAGAAAGAAAATAATTTTTTGCCGTGTGTAGATTTCGAAATTCAAGTGCTTGACTTGAGCTCAGAGGTTTGTGAATTTTTGTTTTTTTTTTACGTTTGTCAGCAGAAGTGCTTCCGTGTGTGTGTTGAGTATCAGTGTTTTCACACACCCACACAGCCCAGGTGTTGCTTACTTCACGAGTCCATCGTATTTCACAGCAAAGCACTCAAGGTCACTGATAAGACGACGCTTGAGACGAACACACTGGACACGTCTTTGTAGCCGAAAAAAATCAACTGTGTCTTTTCCCAAATGAAACATGCACAACAATCAGGAATGATTTTCTTATCCGTCCATTTTTTAGACTTAAATAACCAACTAAGCACATTATTGGACAGACAGACGAGAGTTTCAGCTCTGAAATTAGGCAAGAGTGCTTGACATTTCAGAATATTACAGCTTCTCTCTGCCTATAAGGTTTCTGGGTAATTAAATAACTCCCAAACAGACCCATTCAAATTATCTTTTGACATTTAAATCAGTTGCGGTTTCCTTCCAGAACTGCCCAGATGATTTGAATAACAGACCAAAGAAACCTGCCAGGCGAGTGTCCTGTACGTTAGTGTGCGTTACAGTGGAATATCAATATCCAGAAGGAAATTTTGCATGTACAGCAGGGTTCCCACACTCATAGTGAATATCATTTTAATGTAGTAAAATCTGTTGTGTGGAAAGTGGCTTTTGATGGCAACAAATGGGACACCCATGATCAATAAATAATTACATTTAAGTGTTGTTTGTGCAATGCAGAACACACCACCAAGATGTAGATGAGTTTGTTTCTTCATCAGATTTGGAGAAATGTAGCATTCCATCACTTGCTCAGCAATGGATGCTCTGCAGTGAATGGGTGCCGTCAGAATGAGAGTCCAAACAGCTGATAAAAACATCACAATAATCCACAAGTTATCCACCCCACTCCTGTCCATCAATTAATGTCTTGTGAAGCCAAAAGCTGCATGTCCCATCATTAAGATGTTTTTAACTTCAAACTGTTGCTTAAAAACTAGTCTTCTATCCATAATATTGCTTTTTCCAGTGAAAAAGTCTGAATCAGGAGAGAAATCTGCACAGATCAAGCACCGTTTACAATCCAAAACAGATCTAAACAAATATGTGGGTAGATTTTGATGTAAGAGACAACAGTAGATGGACTTTTTCACTGAAGGAAGCGTTGTTATGGATTATAGACTCATATTTTAGACAGAAGTGAAGGTTTGAAGTTAAAAATGTCTTATTTGTTTCTTACAAACACGCATCTTTATGTTAACTGATGGACAGGAGTGGTGTGGATTACTTGTGGATTATTGTGATGTTTTTATCAGCTGTTTGGAGTCTCATTCTGACGGCACCCATTCACTGCAGAGCATCCATTGGTGAACAAGTGATGGAATGCTACTTTTCTCCAAATCTGATGAAGAAACAAACTCATCTACATGGCCTGAGGGTGTGTAGTTATATTTTCAGCAAATTTGATTTTTTAGATGAGCTATTTCTGCTGAGATGAGAGACAATCTGATTATATAAAGGGTTAAGATAATGATTTTTGAAAAATTTCATTCTGACATGATTGTAACTGCTGTTTCTTAGACGTGTGTTTGATGTGTGGAGGTCACTGGTTTGGTGAGTCGGTTGGGAGATGAGCGGTTGTTTATACAGGAGTCTGGTGGTGTTTTGAATGAGGGCCATCTACATGGCCTGAGGGTGTGTAGTTACATTTTCAGCAAATTAGATTTTTTAGATGAGCTATTTCTGCTGAGATGAGAGACAATCTGATTATATGAAGGGTTAAGATAATGATTTTTGAAAAATTTCATTCTGACATGATTGTAACTGCTGTTTCTTAGACGTGTGTTTGATGTGTGGAGGTCACTGGTTTGGTGAGTCGGTTGGGAGATGAGCGGTTGTTTATACAGGAGTCTGGTGGTGTTTTTAATGAGGGCTGTGTTTCCTCAGCGGGACGCTCCCACCCTTTCCTCTGTGATTCTCTCCCACTTATAACCACAGCTCAAAAAACACAGGCTTTGTACCTTTTAGCCCTTGGAGGATAGATACTGTATATTCATCTGTGTTCAAAATGATCAACAGCATCCTTTACAATGCAGAAAATTGCTTTTTTTTAAATCTGTTTTGACTTGAAAAATATGTGGAATGTCCTAATTCAATCTGCTCTTAAGTGGAGGCATCAACAGGAGTCATGTGCGTTTTGTTGAGGATCAGATGAGCTCAGATCATGAGGATAATGCTGCTCTGTCATAGGCAGAAGCATTAATTGTTTGTCTTAGCGTTGTGCGATCTGTGTTAATAAGCAGTCAGAAATGAGCAGATACAGTGGTAATGATCATAAAGCTGACACACTGCGTGTTCTGCAGATGAAGTGTGTTTGTTTTGAAGGTGTGAGCGTCTGACTGTGAGGAAGTGACTCCAACGGAATGTTTCGAGACTGTGGCTCCGTTTCCATCCTCACTGACTGGCCTACATAGACAGCATTAGTGTTGTCACGGTACCAAAATTTCAGTATTCGGTACCAATACCAGTGAAAATCCACGGTTCTCGGTACCAATTTCGGTACCAAAGCAAAACACAAAAACACGACTCCGCCAACGAATGGGAACGGCAGCGTAATCTGAAAGCAAGTGAGGTAATTGTATTTAAGGAGTAATAAAGAGTGGATTTGGGAAGGAAGGAGGACGACGGTGATTGCAAATATCTGTGGTAAAAGGACGCAGGGTTATCCGCGAGTGCACACTTTGTATGGTGCTGGGCGATCGATTCAGTGTTCTGAGGAACGATTTCTCAGTCCAAACTGAGGATACCAGTGCTGAGTGTGTTCGGATGTGGGAGCTAAAGTGTGTGTTGCCCAGGAACCTTCCTTCATAGCCTCCAATTCATCTTTCAAAGCTGAGTTCCAAGCCGACTTCTGGGGGAGTAGCGGCTCATCTCTACGGCTGGTTGGCTGGCTTCGTCTGCGCACATACACACCACTCGCACTCGCCCCTTTCGTCACACACCTTCATTGTCCTTTGGTGTGCGAGTATATATATATATTTTTTCTATTATAAGCTGAACAGTTTCCTATATAAATCTTGTTTGTATATATATTTATTTTCCCTTTTTCCTTTGTGGTTATATCCATTGAGAACTGGACTCTTGAACCTATCGAATTGACTGCGGGAATAGAGTGGACTGGCATCACCCGATATCCGAAACTCTTAGATCTCTTTGACAAGGTGTAAAGGAGTACCAGTGATGTAATGATTTTTTTTGGACAATTGTGCTTTGCGTATATGAAAATATAATAGGATTTTGAACTAAAAACCCTCGATTTCTTGTGCAGTTATTCATTTTTTCATTTTTTTTTGTGGTTGTTAAAAACTGTAAACTTATTTTGGTTTGTAACCGGTGGCTTTTAGAGCTCATCTGGGTTTATATAAATATTGACAGGCTGACTCCTGTCTGGCGCCCGAACACTTTAATTTAGTTATTTAAATATTGATTTAAACTGCTTTCTGGGGCCCACCACCGTTACAGAAGTGGCGCCCGAACAGGGACTTGAACCCTGGACCCTCAAGTACCGACTTGGTACTGAAATACCGGGTCTTTTGACAACACTAGACAGCATCACTCCCAACCTGAAAACCCCTTTTCCCTAAGATAGCACTGGTTATGATTATACTTGAGTAGTTGACATTTCACCCAGTTGACATTTTTTTTAATGTACATATATTAATATAGAGTCATTTGAAGGACCTATATATTGAGGATCTGGTCCGACTCCTGATGCACGACAAGTTCCTCAATGCCAAAATTATCATTTCGATTCGCTACCTTGAACGTCCGG